ATGAAATGATAAATCGTGTTGATGTAGACAAAACCACATAACATGCCCATGTGGTGAAAAATGTGATGGAAGGATAGGGCCACAATACACAAATGGCTCTATATCAAACTATACACAAAAATACCCTAATTCTGCCATCACTTAAAACTTCTTTTTCTTACCTAGATTGAAATGACATAAAAATAGAAAAGAAACCAACCCTCTCAAATTTGCAGACATTACATTTCCATTTCCAGGATGTGAAAGTGTTCAGATTCCAGGCATCATTGACAGTTCACTTGAATCCCCTCCCAAATGTCGAGGGCACCTTCATAGCCAGTTGTTGGGTGCTGACGGCTCCTGGCTCCCCTCTCCTCGCCAGGGCCTGGTTCATTGGCTCTTCCAAAGCTGCCCAGGTACTCACACTACACCCCATATTTTAAACTACTAATAGAAGCAATTATTTATACCGTTCTCTGTATCAACATTTAGTATAGGAATGAACTGGTCTGTCAACTGCAGAACCACTTGATAAAATTGCCCCGCCACCAACTTTAGTATGTTAAGAAGGTCATTTTAAACATGTATAGATAATGATAAACAACATGCCAGGAGAAGAAATGAAAAACTGCCAAGAGGAAAACCTAACCTTGAAAAGTTAAAATATACTGGAAAAATAATTTCCACAAGAAAAGACCTGAAATATTTAGCCTTTAATTGGGATCTCTGAGCTGATACTAAAAAGAGCCATTTGAGAAGGCCATGGCCACCCAGGCCACCATTTTGTCTGAGACACTGACAGTGAGAAGCAGTTGAGGGGGGAGTTTTCTTTGCTGACAGCAACTTCAAAAAACATCCTAGGCTCTTTAGTAATTCATTATGGCTCTGTCTTCACTAATTATCATCCAAGTTTTAATGTCTTCTTGTATCTTCAGCCTAAAGCCTTTCTCTTTGAGTGATTTCTATTCACAGTCCACACAGAGGGAGATGGCTGCTCCCTCCAGTGAATGTTTCATGCTTTCGTAGGTGTCATTCTCATTCTCTCATTCTTTCCAAAACAGAAAGTCCCATCTTTAGAGTCTGCCCCTGATGATGTCTTCACCACTCCCCACCTGAATGTGTTGAAGCATCCCAGCTCATTCATAACTTCAGAGTTCCTGGATCAAAGAACTGTCCATTTCGAGACTCTGACAATGGCACCAATCCCTTCTCTGACATCACCTCAAAGGCCATCCAAAGTTATCCCAATATGAAAAAGTTAGGTTTTCTATTGATCTGAATAGAGCAGCTCCCAGGAGGGAGTCAGGTGCAACAGAAACTGGACTTGTTGTCCGGCTCCCTGGGCTGAGTTTCGGCCCTGCTCTTGGCCTACCAATCCTTGATGTATTTGACACTGACTTCCTTACCTCTAAAATGAGGACGTACAGCTGCTTCCCCCACATGACTGCTGCAAGGATTAAATGACAACATATTGCACAACTGCTCTATGAACGTTACTCTTCTTTCTTCCTTAATTGGAAAATTATGGCTACTAAGTTGTACTCTTAAACACTGAAAAACTCCTAGTTTTTCCTTTAAAAAATACAGGCTTACATCAGTAACAATTTTACTGATCAATATACCCGTGGTCTGTTTATCCATTAATGCTCTGCTTACCAAGTTTAAGAGTTCTCGAAGCATTTCCAGTGGAATACTGAACTCCTTAAAGGTGATGCCATTGAAAAGAGGAGAAACTGAGAAGCTGGAACTGATGGTGGAGAAGTAGTAATCGGGCTCCAGGGCGCTCCCATCAGGTAAGTAAGAGACTGATGGGAAGAAAACCAAAGAGTCAGTCACAGTAACACATGACCGGGGTACTTCCTCAAGCTGATCCCCTCGATAACCAACAAAGGCATAGATTTTGCTTTTGTTTATACTCCAATTCCTTGTTTTTAATCATGAAGTAAAGGCTGGATTGCAAGTCCTTGGGGAGTGACACCTCTCACTGGGGTATTTCAAGTCAAAGGAACAGTTATAATCATGCCCTAATGTTTTCAAACCAAACAATGAAGACTTAAATGTGGGGGAAAAAATTACACCTTTTTAAAGGTTGACCAATGTGAAAGTGTGAGATTCACAGGGTCCCAAAGATATTTGACCACCAAAATTAGAACAAAAATGCACATTACTATAAATTTCAAAGTCAGAACAAAAATAAAAAGCCAAACATCTAACACTTACTAATAAATATAAACCCAAAAGCATATAATCACTTAAAAATCCATTATTAAAAAACTATGATAGGAGATGATGACTAGAAAAATTTGTAATATTTTCATATTAAATAGTAACAGACCATATCAATCTTTAAAAAACAAAGAATAAATTTTATTACTTTCTGAAGCACTAGCGCACAGAAAAAGCAGAGTTGAGTTTATCCCAATTGGGTCAAAGGTGATGTGTAGTTCTATGATGCTGGTGACACATTGCTGACCTGAGCTAGATGGGTCCTAAGAGAGCAAACCAGCAACTTACAAAAGAGGGGATGCGCAATAATACTAAGAGGAGCTAAGATGCCGGAGACCAACAAAACAAATGACCAAGAAGAGAGGAAGATAACAAAGCTGGCTTAAGGGGAATAGGTGGGGAAGAAGATAAGAAGGTAGAGGTGTCTGTGTGTGTATGTGTGTGTGTAAATGTATGTGTATGTATATAATATACATACAAATTTGAGTGTATATAAAAATTTGAGTGTGTATAAAAATGAAGTATTATTCAGCCTTAAAAAAGAAGGGGATTCTACTATTCGTAACAACATGGATGAACCTGGAGGACATCATACTAAGTGAAATAGGCCAGACAGAGGAAAAAAAAAAAACTACATGATCTCACTATGTGCAGAATCTAAAACAGTCAGACACATAGGAGCAGAGAGTTGAACAGAGGTTACCATAGGTGAGGGGGTGGGGATGCTAGTCAAAGGTAAGAAGCTGCAGTTATGCAGGATGAATTAGTCCAGAGCACTGACGTCCAACACAATGACCATAGTTAGTGAGACCATACTAAATACCAGAAATTTGCTGAGAGTAGATTTCAGGTGCTTTCATCACCTCCACCTCCCCGAAAAAAGACAAAAATGGTAACTGTCTGAGGAGATGGCTATGTTAACAGCTTGACTGTAATAATCATGTGTATATTTATTAAATCACCTTAAATATACACAAGTGTAATTTTTAAATAATAATAAAAGAAAGTAAAAAGTTTGTGATCAGAAGGCATCTCCCAGATAGAAACACAACACAAGGACGAAGTCATGTGTGGCTGAGCCATTGTCTGCTGGGCATAGACAGAGGCAAAACATGGGAACTGCAGGAACCAAGGATCTAAGATTTAGGATTTACGCAGGGGGTGTCACCAAAAGTCTTTTAGCAAGAAATTAAAGATAAGATTTATGCTTTTAAAAAGAATTCTTACAGCGCTGTAGAAGAGGAACTGGAAAGAGAGAAGGGGAGCCTAACTGTAAGAAAAATTTGAGCGAAACGAGAGTCTTGGAAGTAAAAAGGGAAAGAGTGGTTTCCTGCCTGTTTCTTCGACAATGAAGTGCACTTTAGACTGTGAGAAATTAAGAAAATCATCCATTGAGCTCACCCCTACAGGAGAGCGGTGCTCAGCCCACATCTGCCAAATGAAGTTCAAACAGTGAGGCCACACCTGGGCGTGCCCCAATCCTGGACACTCACTGGAAGTGTTTAAAGGAGGGAATCCCTAATGGGGAGGGGCTCCTGGGCACAGAGAGCAGTTTACTAAGGAAAAAGGAGCCTTAGAGGACACATCAAGCCTCAGATGCCCCAAGAGCATACGGGTAGCAAATGGGTTGTTTAAAGTCTGGAGGAATATATTCTAGGACAAGTGGTTCTCTCTGGAAGGTGGGATTTGTTTTGAGTGGGCCAATTTGGCCTTTACATTCTAACATATACCTAGACTATTACATGTTATATTCTCACATGTCCAAGAGATACTGTATGCAAAGTTACCCACATTTGAGTCCAGATACTTCCTCTTTTTTTTAATTCTCCTCACATCTTTCAAGACCCTCTTGAGAAATGTTCTTTAAGCAATCAGCATCATCCGGAAATGGAATAGATGGCATTACAAAGCACAGAATTTTGGTTCCCCATCTCCTATCATTTAATCAGAGTCTTACTTCCCTCAAGGATAAGTCGAAGGCAATTGATTTTTATTTAGATAAATGTGTCTTCCAACATATTTCAGAAAAGAGGAGATGTGGTGAGCTGAAAGGTGAATTTACTAAAGGAATTTGATTAAGTATCAACCCTATGTGTGTTTTCATGGTCACAAGCTGCCACTTTAAAAATATATATCCATTTACTTACTATTCTTCATGTCATACAATTTGACCATAAATTATTGTATAAGTGGATAAGTTGAAGGCAATTTTAATAAATGTCTGACACTATACAGGGCTATCATAGAAGTCAAATTCAGTAAATCCCATAAAAGTGCTTTGTGAATAGCAAGTCTCTATAAAAAGTATAAAATACTCTTTAATATTATCTATATACGTAATGATCTAAAAAAAAAAAAAAGCAAGAGAAAGACCCGCCTAAAAACCAAAGCTTTCACAGGTTAACATACTAAAATTCTGATCACAGGCACATGGGGTCTGTATATTAATTTCTGTACTTTTCTCTGTTTGAAATATTTTAAAATTAAATTTAAAAGACATTTAAATTAAAATAAGTGCTTTCTAAAAGCTTGACATTCTAGATGCATGACAGCAGAGCACTGGTATTACTATCCCTAAGTCATCACCATGAACTTGCTATCCAAGTGGTAGGTCAACATTCTTGGCAGAAAGGTAAAGCTCACCTTCAAAGTAGTGAAAGGCAGATCCTCCAGGGGAGCTAGGAGCAGGCATCCCACGTTCGGGGCTGACCTGAAACACACAACCACACTTACATATCAGAAAAGGTCAGCCAAACCTCAGTCGGATTCGATGTAGGCAAGGTTCTCTCTGTCAGATCAATGGCTGTACTTCAAGTCCTGGTTCAAGCCTCACCTCCTTCCTGAAACCCATTCTCTATCATATACCAAATCACTAAATTCTTCCTGTCTAGACATACATTTATACTTCATTACTGAGCTGAATTATTCTCAGTGTTTTGTGTCTACCTTTTCTCCATGAGTCAATTATACACTTCTTTAGTATACCCACTGTCTCCCACTCAGAAACCCATTGCTAGGAAACAAATACTTTGTGACTAGGAGACGAAATCACTTATAAATCTTAAAAGGGACACACAAGACTTTGTATTAAAGAGAACACAAAAGGGAACATTTTATGTTTTCTAAGTTTACTTAAACTACACGTAAGTGGGATTTTCTTCCTGCGAGCACTTAATAAGACCTCTCTCCTCTAATCTCTCCCCCACCTGCAGCCCCACCTGAGAGATGCTGGACACACTGCTGGTCTTCCTCTTCAGGGTGCCCTCCTGACAAACAGTCAGCAAGTTGCTGGGGAGGATGGAACGGAAGTCATTGAAGGAACGCCGCCGAACACCTTCTAGCTCCTCTGGGACTCGGAGGGAATGAGGAGGGACTTTGGGAAAGTTTCGAGAGGAGAGACTCTTCTGTGTTGCTGTAACGTCCAAATGCTCGTGAGATTCCAATCAGGCATGGGATCGCATATTTGCAAAGGTATTCTAGAACACAAAGTAAGAATGTTCTGCTACCAGAAAGCTATCTGTGAGAGAAACACATTTTCCCAATTTGCAGCACTGGCTCACATCTAACAACCCACCCACTAACAAATCTGAAGGGTCAGAATAAGCCACAGCAACAGGGTCAACCCCAAGGGCTGACCGATGACATTTTCAATCTGGCACTAACAACTTCAGACTATGCATCACACACGTGCCCTCTTTGAGAGGTCTTAACCTACTCATGGCACGCCCAAATCAGTTATACAGCTAAGCCATGTTATCAGGCACCTCTACTATACTTAAACAATATTATCTGTTCTTCCTGGGATCATACTGGTAGCCCTACCCTAGAGGAAAAATGACCTTTGGAAGTTAGACATGTTATAAGTGAAGAAACTTATTAGGCCCAGAGGGTGAAGTGACTTGTTGAAAGTCACTTGGAATTCAGATAGCAAAGCTGTGCTAGTAACCCCTAAGCGGCCTCTTAGTTAACGCATAACAAAGGCAACCTAATAAAGGCAGGTTTTCGACCATGATGTACATAGTGTAGTAAAGAACAAAAAAGAAGACTGGGAAAAAGCAAGGGAAACAATAATCACAAAATCATTTTTTAAAAAGCCTTAAATCTATAATCATACCTTTTTCTTGAATCTCCAAGGCCTGGCACATTCCCAAAAGGACATGCAAAACCTGCAAAAGTGCCTCTAGAATCTGTAATAGCCGAGGAAACAGAACAAACAAATTTACAAACAATATCAGAAAAATATCATAAAGTTAATTCAATATTAGAAGGAGCTTTACGCATTTTCTTGTCCAACCGCTTATCTGATATATAACTTCCCACATGACAGTTCTGCCAAGGGACCAATCAGCTGACCTTCAAGAAACCGAAACCCTCCCTCTCTGGGCTGGTCCAGGGCCAATGTTGTCCTCCTGGAGGCTTTGTACCCACCAGCTGTTGTGGCCACTCCTTCCTCCATATACTGCAAACAAGTGACAATACCCCAAATCCCTTGTCATGGCTACATACTTCTAGTTCTCTTCACTCATTTCTTATGATATGATGTTGAGTGTCTGCTTCTGATTTTACTGTAGCCCGCTGTGTCAGAAACCGTCTCAAATTGTGGTGCTCAGGATAAAATATTCCAGGGATGTTGGGACTCACCGAGTAATCACCAAACTCAACACAGATTCTAGACTTTCATGTATGTGTCATTAGCAACTGGCAGTTATTTCACACTGCTGGCTCAATGAGCTCACAGATAAAGAAAATATTTAAATCTTTTTCACACATGCTGCTCCCAAGCTATGCCACCTCTACATATATAGTTGGCATTTTTTTTGCCTATCATCGATCCCTACAAAGCTCACAGTAATTAGCTTTAGTTTATCACACTGGTTGTTGATTCCCGGCTTTGTGGTGTCTAGAAATGAAATCAATTTGCTTTCTGATCTTCAATCACGGCCCTGGCTCATTTAGCTTCAATGGTAGGGGGCAGGCTACCAGAGGCTCCTTCTGGGCTGGCATCTCACCAGGTTCCCTTTCAGATGTTCCTTCAGGTAGTTCGAAAACTCTCTGGAGCTCAGCCTATATTCTGGGATATCAGAAGAGGGTCTGTCCAATACCTTGATGAAGACCAACTAGATTATATCTACCTCATTTTCCTCTACCAGTCTTAGAAAATCCAGGCAAAGAAGAGAATGAATTTGATCTAATATGACTTGTTCATAATCAAGTCAAATTTCTTATATTTTGCTAATGTTAAATAATGCTGAATAACCTATGAAGACTTAAAAAGAAATATTTATTCCATTTCATATATTAAAGTTATGTCATCATCTTCAATGTTAACCTATTTTGATAGACGTTATTTATAGAAAAGCCCTTAACTTATAGCCTGTTAACTTTATCTAGTTATCTTTAATCAACCCACAAAGAAACTAAACTAAGAAAAAAGGATGTAGAAGAATGTATTGGCAGAAATTTTGACAAAAGAATTTACAGTTTGCTATCAAGGAAAGAGTTTTGTTTTTTTTTTTTTTATGTCTACAGCACCTGGTCAAGGAAAGAGATTTTTAAAATTAAAAAAACAGATACAAAAATTCAAAAAGCTTAGATAACTCAGCACATTTAGCATAGAAGGAGGCAGCCAGGCACATGTTGGCAGGATCTGAGGATAGCGGAATATAAAAATTGATTTTCAAAATAATAAATCTAATTAATTAAGAAAAAGTTTAGATTATGATCTTATTCTTTGCTAAAAAAAAACGTCTGAAACACATTTAAGTAACATTTCCAACAAAATAAACTAAAACTAAAAAATCTGAGCACTTAAAGGATTAGCTTCATCTAGAATATTCTATTGAAAGACTTCAATCCCCAAAAAAGCATCAGGAAAGCTGCCTCTGCCTTTTGCTGCTTACCTCACAGGACTATGTGGAAAGCTGAGTGGGATCAGACTCAAAAGATCAGTAGGTAACCTGAAAAGTACTGTAAGCAAGTAGTAAACATTTCTTAGGTGTGTAATTGATAGTATGAAGAAATCAATATAAACAATCTAATCATTTCAAATTTGATTTTTCCTCCTGTCATCACTTCAGAACTCTTTTTGATCTTATAGAAATGCACAACAATTCACCACACACTTACTTCATCCCTAAGCGAAGGGTCCCTGTAGGCTACATCAGACAGCAAAGTTACCAAGCAGAAGCTGAAGCTCTCCGCCACTGGGAGGGCACCTAGAAGGCATAAAGACACAAATCAGGTCATCACAAATAAGACACTGGGCCACACCTACTGGCCACCTAATTCATTATGTTTCCTCTCTCATACAGCTTGCCAAGGGACCAGTTTACAGTGGTACCCTCGCTGAGATAAGTCTCAAAAGAACAGATTTGGACCCAACATGTTTACTAAGAAATACCCCTATCTTTCTTTTAATAAAACGTTTTGGCTCGATAAACTTAAATGTTTCATGAGCCAATTTACAGTTTCATATTATAAAGCCTCTCAACTCGACAGATTCCATTTTTTATTCCCTACTTAACTAAAAGTGAGAAATCAATCCTGATAGAGTATAAGAGATGGTATACTGGAGGGTAACTGTCAAATACCTATTACTACTTTAAACTGAATTAAATGCTTATATTTTATTTTCTGCTTTGTTTTGACAAATGGAGAAAATCCTAATAAGAGCTTCCAAAGAGTTGCTCCATTCCTCATAGATTTTTAAGCCCTGCCACTACTGAGCCTCCTAGCATCAGGGTTCTCAGGAGCTTGGCCTCAAGGTTGAAAAGGGAGCTCTACACTCAAAAGACCAAACACTAAGCAGCACTTCTATCAACTGCACCTTCAAAACGTTAGAACCTTTGCTGTGTAGGTCCAATCATTACTAAATATTTAATCTATTCTGAATACTAAATATTTAATCAAGGACATAGAGCTACCCACTGTTTTATGGCCATATGCACAGCACAAGGCAGAAGACTTACATTTCTACTTCTGCACTCATTTTCAGATGCAGCTCTAGGTTGTTCTCACACTTGATTGTGCACCAGACTCACCTGGAGGACTTGTTAAAATGCAGGCTGCCTGCTTCTCGGCCCCAGAGTTTCTAATTCAGTAACTCTGATATGGTGGCTGAGAATCTGCATTTCTGACAAGTTTCCAGGTGAGGCTGATGCTGCTGGTCCAGCAATGGCACTCTGAGTCCACATATTTAGAAGTGATATTTGTTTTGAAATAAAAGAATAGAAAAACAAAATTAATGTCTACTGGCATTCTACTTCTTCCCAAATAACAATAGTAGACATGGATGTTTGACCTTTTAACAACACTTTCTCTATATTCCAGAATATATGCATAATTTGGGATCTGTCCATTTTAGGCACAGTAGATGACCAGAAATGATAAAAATGCAAAGGTCAAGAGGAATCCAGGCACAAGCAGGACCTTCTTGAGAATAGTAAAACCCATCTTTAGCAGAATGGCCTACCTAACAAATTGAGGCTGTATCAAAAACCAAAAGGACAAGGGCCGTCTCTATAGCCACCAACTGTATCAGAAGGTGGGCCTCAGGCCTCAGAGAGAGAAAGGGGGAGAGAGAGAGAGATTACAAAGAAACTTCAGTCTCATGGGTCATGAACTCTAAAATGTTGGGAGGTCTTCCAAGCTGATTCTGGAGTCTTGGGAAATCAATATACAAGAACATCAGCGTTTTAAATGTTTAATAGCACAATGCTTGGCACACAGTGGGCCAATGTAAATATTTCAGGAGGGAGGAAAGAAAGCGAGGAGGGAGGCAGGGAGGGAAGGGTAATGGAAAAGAAGAGGGAAAAAGATGATATAACTTTCTCTTTGACCTTAAAGAGAGATCAAAATAAAATACAAGTTAAAAAGAAATACACATGAATTTTTACCATTTCTAAAGGGGCAAAGTTTAACTGAAACTTAGCAGCAGCAACAAAGTAATAAAACTATTTATGCGAACATGGAGTTGAGTCCCGAAAATCCATTTCACCCTTCCTTTTTGAGTAGCAGCAATGCAATTTGGAGAACTATCTCATTCCAGGAGTGAGCCTATTCAACTAATGGTAACAGAGACTGCTTCAGGGAATGGCAGGTGACCCAATTCTGGCCAATGAGATATACTAAAAGGTTCTTAAAGGTCTCAAAGTTCCTGCTTTCTCTCAGAGTGTAATTAAAAGCTGGCTTGCTCAGCCCTCCCCTCCCCTCCCATCCCCTTGCCCAGAGGCCCTGGACAACAGTGAGTATGTACAGCCCAAGTTGCTGCAGGTAGGCAGGTGTCCTACAGCCAGGAGTGGAACCAGCTGGAAGCATCCTAACTGATGTGTTAGTATAACGGAACACTTGAACCTTATAGGCATGGAACATAACATATTTCTCCTTGCACCCAGGGAACATTATATGAAATTACCTCTGCCTTTCCGAGCTGTGCTTTCTTCTACCCAATATACTTTCGGAAGACCTTTAAGAAGTCGAAGAAGGTAAGGAACCACAGAATCTTTGTGCTAAAAAAAAAAAAAATTGTATTTAATAAAATATGTGACTGGTAGCATTTTAGCACAGATTAAGGTCAAAGCAAAGCATACCCACATCTTAATCACCTTAAAGGTGGCTCACATGGTGTTGCACCCTTCCTGTTTCCTAGCAGCCTGCACCACAAGTGCCTAAGGGAAGGGCTAAAACCTGCCCTTCTGGAGCTGAGTATATGGCCTAACTTGGCGTCCTCTGGGGCCTTGGCTCCCATGGGGGCCTCTCCAGAAGAAGGTGTGTATGCGCATACACACCCGAAGCTGCCTTCACTGAGAGGTGTTCAGAGAGGCCCCAAACCCTTCAGTGGGCCTCTGAATCTTCCAGACTAGAAAGCAGCTCACAGCCACAAGCTTCTAAACTTAGTGATAGCTTCTGTTGTTAATAGCCCTTGTTTGGTTAATATACTGTTTCATGTTTCCTTTGGCTCCTCTCGAATTGAACATTAGACTTTATAGACATCATTAGTCAATAAAATAATTACTTTCTTCTAGTTTCCCAACTAGCCAACAACACATAACTTCATAACCTTCCATGATTTGCTCTATTGGTTGTTTCCTATTTATAGATGCTCTGGTAAAAATGAGGTAAGTGTCCTCCAGAGAAGAGGGATACTATTTGATATTCTGAAATACTAAAAAAGCATGTGGTGGTTTTGAAAACATGGCTGTAATTATTGTGATACTGAAAGGTGGAGTCGAATTCACCTATCCTGAAAGATGGGCTGCCTTAGTGACTTGCTTCTAGTGTATCTATAGAATAGTACACATGAGACTGCCTTCCCAGGCTCGGTTAGAGAAGGTAGTGCAACTTCTACCTGGCTCTTTCTCAGGACACTCATCTTTGGAACTCAGACACTATGGTGTGACACAGTGACATAGCTCAGGCCACAGGGAGAGGCCATATACATAGAGTGCATTGGCTGAGAGCCCCAGCTAAGGTCCCAGACAACAACCAGGATCACCTCCTAGACATGGTATAAATAAGCCTTCAGGTGATTCCAGCCCTCAGCCTTCCAGCCATGCCAGGTGACACCTAATGGAGAAAAAACAGTGACTCTTCTGAGTGCTGTCTAAATTGCAGGTTCATGAGAAAAAAAAATTGTTATATTAAGCTACTAATTTTTGGGATAGTATGTTACATGCCACAATTGATAACCAAACACATAGAGAAATTTCATCAGTGAAAACAAAACAATTTCTCCTCTAAAGGATGAAAAGCAGCTGGATATGACATCTGTCCAGGATCCTAGTGTACTAACAGGTACAAGACTCCAAAGGGCCTACACAGCACAGCCTCCTGCAAAGGAAGTAGCCCCAGTACTCTTTCCTGTATAAACCATTACGGCTTTTGTAGCATGTTGCAAGTAAACTACCTCTGCTACTCTAGCCATAGCTGCTGCTAGGGCAATCCACCGACTGGACATAAAGGAGGCCAATGCCACAGCCCATCCTGGATGGAGGCAAGAAACATAAACAACAGGGAGATAAAGAGAAAGCTGATCTCTACAGTCCAGGGGCCTGGAAAAGCATGCTGGTCTTCTCTTCTGGGGTCCATGAGGCTGGCAGTCGTCCCCAGAATCACAAGCAGACTATATGGCTTGAGGGATGTCAGTTGCCACCCTGTGCCCCACCAAATCCTTAATGAGAACCTGAGTTACACCAAAGGTAATTTGTATTCATCTCTTCCTTGACACCTTAAAAAGCCTAATATAAGTATTAAGGACTTACAGGTAAATCTATGTTTGTCAAAGATATTTTCAAGTAACACATATTTGAACAGCAATAGTTTCTTATACAGATTGTTTTGAAAAATTCTTTTCCTCTTTATTTTTTAATATTTAAATTTACATAGGACTTGGAGAATAAAAAAGTAGAAATGATTTTCTTTCTTTTCATGTTTCTAAATAAATAAGAAAACTAAAATGCAGGTGATGCATCTAATTTTGGTTTTTCACATGGCCTTGGTCAGACAACCTATTTAATTTTTTTAATACTGCTCTAAAATTAAAATGCGTATTTTTTTTCAAATGTATAAACAGTCTGTCGAAAAGTAAAATTTCCAGGACATGTAAGCTAACATTTCTGGATAAATAAAAATTTAAATATTTAACATCTTTACTTTCCTAACGGTATAATTAAGCTTCAAATTAAAAAATGATTCTTGATAATGATAAAAATAAACAGATAAATAAGACTGTATATGCAGTGATTAATCATTAGCTTCAATTAGCCTTGATAAATACTAAAAAAACAACAGCCACACCATTTTCTAGTGGAGCTACAACACTGGTTTTCAAATCGCCTTTAAAAGGCACATTAACACATACTCTAAAACTTAATTTATAACTATCATAGTTTTGAAAAAGATGGCATTATATCAAAATTATCTCAAATAATACTGTCCTTGAGTTCTGGGCAAGATGGAGGTATAGGTAAATGGTGTGCTTACCTCATCTCACGATCACATCAAAATTACAACTACAGAACAATCATCATTGAGAATTGCCCGAAGTCTACCTGAACAGAAGTCCAATAACTAAGGATACAAAGGGAGCCAAGTCCAGACTGGTAGGAGGGGCGGAGACACAAAAGGGGCTGGCCCCACACCCACATTTGGCAGCTGAAAATCAGGAAGGATATCTCAGCTGTGGAGGTCCCTCCAGAGGGCGAAGGATCCCAGCCCAGAGCACTAGTGCCAGGAAGAGAAGTCCCTACAACTTCTGGCTGTGAAAACCAGTGGAGATTGTGGCTGAATGAGACAGAGGGCTGCTGGAGTCCCAGGCACTCCTCTTAAAGGGCCCACTTGCACAGACTTACTCGCTGATGGAATCACTTGCTCTGAGCTCCAGCTCTGGGGCAACAGCAAGAAAGGTACCAGGAACATGTGGAGAGGAAATGAATTGTCTGGCTTCGGGGAGAGGGCTGGAGGGGCAGCTCTGTCCCAGACAGAAGTGCTGGCAGAAACCACTGTTCCTTTGTTGAGCCCCTCTTTTACCCAGCATGCAGACACAGGCAGGCGCCATACCTGAGTCTTCACCAATTTAACTAATACCATTCACCCTGCCCTGGTGATTCCCTGAGATCCCACCCTACCCAACTTTTGGGCCCATCCAAGCCACTTCCAGTGGCTTTTCCACATAAACAGTTTGTCCTAGTTCATGCTATGGACTTTCCTAAAATCTCTAAGGTTCACAAATTCCAAATAAGCTGCACCTGGCCTCAGCATGCCCCATACCTCTTGCTAAGCAGCCCCAAGTCCAGCACTAGCAACAGCAGGCCTCAGTTCACAGTTTAGCCTCTCCCAGGTACCTCCAAGCCCAGCATGAGTGGTAATCATTCTCAGATTACTTTGCAGCTCATACCAAGTGGTCCCAGGGCAGGGCACTGGCAGGGCTGACTTTGGCTTGCAACAGAGCTCCTCCCAAGAGGCCCTAGAACACACCTGGTGGCAAGCTTCAGATCACACCAGAGCACTGCCCAACCACCTTCACAAAAGACACACCCAAAGAGCAGACAAGGCAGGGACCAAGGCCCTGCTAAAGCAAATTCTGCTCCATAGGATCAGCCCCAGCACAATGGCTCCTTCACTGTAGTCACGACCAGTCCTCACAACCAATTAGTCTGAGGGTTGATCCCTCCCACCGACAGCTCAACTACAGCAAGAGGGTACACACAACCCATACAAGGGACACACTGGGAGCACCTGGCTCAGGTGACCAGGGAGACTGAGCCACTGGGCCCCACAGGACATCTACTACATAAGGCCACTCTGCTAAGACCAGGAGACATAGCAGCTCTATCTAATACATAGAAACAAACACAGGAAGGCAGCCAAAATGAGAAGACAAAGAAACGTCCCAAATGAAAGATCAGAACAAAGCTCCAGAAAAATAACTAAATAAAATGGAGACAAGTAATCTACCAGATGCGAAGTTCAAAACACTGGTTATAAGGAAGCTCAATGATCTCAGTGAGAACGTCAACAAAGAGATAGGAAATGTAAAAAAGAATCAGTCAGAAATAAAGAATGCAACAACTGAAATAAAGAATACATTGGAGATAACTGACAGTAAATTACATGAAAGATAGAAGTGAATCAGTGATTTGGAAGATAAAGTAGTAGAAAACACCCAATCAGAACAACAAGAAGAAAGAATCCCCCAAAATGAGGTTAGTTTAAGCATACCAACATTCACATTATAGGGTACCAGAAGAGAGAGCGAAAGGAATTGAAAACCTATTTGAAGAAAAATGACAGAAAACTTCCCTAACCTGGTGAAAAAAATAGACATACAAGCCCAGGAAGGGCAGAGAGTCCCAAACAAGATGAACCCAAAGAGGCTCACACCAAGACCCATCATAATTAAAATGCCAAAGATTAAAGACAAAGAGAGAATCTTAAAAGTAGCAAGAGAAAAGCATCTAGTTACCTACAAAAGAGCTCTCCTAAGACTGTCAGTTGGTTTCTCAAGAGAAACTGCAAGCCAGAAGAGATTGGCATGAAATATTCAAAGTGATGAAAAGCAATGACCTACAATCACGATTACTCTACTCTTTACAATTGAAGGACAGAAAAAGAGCTTCCCAGACAAGAAAAAGTTAGAGTCCATTACCACCAAACCAGTATTTTAAGAAATGTTAAAGGAACTTCTTTAAGGAGAAAAAAAAATCAAAAATATGAATAATAAAATGGCAATAACTACACATTTAGCAACCATTAGTTTAAATGTAAATAAATTACATGCTCCAATCAAAAGACACAGGGTGGCTGAATGGATAAGAAAACAAGAACTTTACATGCTGCCTACAAGAGACTGACTTCAGATCGCCAAGACACACACAGACTGAAAGTAAAGGAGTAGAAAAAGATATTTCATGAAAATGGAAACAAACAGACAAAAAAGCTGGGGTAGCAATACTTAGACAAAATAGATTTTAAAACAAAGGCTATAACCAGAGACATAGAAGGACCCAGTAATGCCACTTCTGGGTATTTGAAAAAAATCCAAAACACTACTTTGAAGGGACATGTGCATCCATATGTTCATTGCAGCATTATTTACAAGACATGGAGGCAAACTGGATGTCTATTAGTGGATGAATGGATAAAGAAGAGGTGGTACATATATACAGTGGAAGATTACTAAGTCATAAAAAAGAATGCAGTCTTGCCATCTGCAACAACATGGATGGACCTAGCAGGTATTGTGCTGTGTGGAGTAAGTCAGACTGAGAAAGACATATGTCATATGATTTCACTTATGCATGGAATCTAAAGCACATGATAAACAAAACAGAAACAAGCTCATAGATACAGAAAGCATTTCAATGGTTGCCAGAATGGGTGAAAAGTGGGCGAGTGGGTGAAGAGGGGAGGGGATGAAGAGGTACAAAACTGGTCATTACAAAAGTCGTAGGGATGTAGAATATAGCATGGAGAATATGGTCAGTAGTATTGTAATAACTATGTATGGTGTCAGATGGATACTGGATTTACCAGGGTGATCACTTTGTAACTTATATAAATGTCTAATCACTGTGTTATACACCTGAAACTAATATAATATTGTATGTCAACAGTGATTGAAAAAATAAAAATTTAAAAAAATACTGTCCTTTTGGAAGGAAAAAAAAAGTTACTATAATTCTGACTGATGAGCATTTTACCTGAGATTGAAAATCAAGTTTACTCTAGAGGGCACACAGTTACTTCACAAAGCATTTTACTAACTTTCTGGCAAAAAAAAAAAAACCAACAAAAAAACAAAAAACCCACAGCTCTATTTTTTTAACAACATAATTTATTCATACAGTCCAAAAATCAAAATGTCCTAAGAAGTGTAAAGGAAAAAGTCTCATTCCCACCTGTTCCACCTACCCTGTCTTACCCACTGCTAACCACTTTTATTAGGAATTTGTATGCATTCTTCTAGTACTTTAGATAAACTTAAGAAGGAACAAATTTAAGTTCTAATTATACCCCATTTTTACACTGTCGAAACACTTTTAATTTAGTCAAGACTTACCTGAAGATCAGACTCAATGAGAAAAATGCCCAACGCAATCACTGCATCTCTCCGTCTTTCATCTAATTGGAAGATCCCATGGAAATCTACGGGGCACATACAAAGCAGCTTTTGGACCTAGAAAATGAGACAACAAAAAACAGCACCCACATTTAATTTAACTAATAAATTTAATTAAAATTATCAACCCACATTCAAAATAAACCAGCACCGTAGAAGAGCAATGAGTCTATATAACCAGTAAGTCATTTTTTCCAATTAAAAGATCATAAAAAGGACATCTCCAGCTTCTGAAATAATTCTACACATATCCCTCAAACACACTCTGAGGAACCTGGGCAGCAGGTAATAATGATGTATACACAGGCAGTAAAAGCACAATGGCTAATGTCCGCACTTGGTGTCAGGACAGTCCGCAGTCCCCAATTTCCAGTGGTGCCTATAACCCAGTTACCCAAACCTACCTACTAGCATAATGCCTCCTTAGGGCTCTTTAAAAATCAAATGTATGTAAAGCACTTAAAACTGTGTACAGCACATAGTAAGTGCTCAATAAACAATATTTATTATTACTGAATATGCCGTAATAGTGGCTAGCAGAAGGCAAGCAGGCATATAAATCAGAAACTTAACGAATAAATGGAAAAACTAAGATTATCTTCAAAATTAACGAACAGTAAATATCTGTCATAAAGGAACAAAAAATCTGAATTTAGTATGAATAGGAAAACAGGTGATGTCGGTTTTAAAATTCTCCGCCACAAGCTCTTGAACAGAGCATTTCGACATACCAGGAGGTCCTAACCTTGCTGTTTGGCTGTGGACCCAATGAGAAGTCACTCGCTGACATTCATATGGTCCTGGTGGAATGTTTTAACAGCTAAGGAAAGTATAGTGCTTGACATTTGCCCTGAAAATGAGTCAACCAATTATCACTGTAATTTTAAAAAAGAAAATAACTGAAAATCTGAAACAATCTATTTAACTTTGGGAGACTAAATGATTCAACCACTTGATGAAATATTAGGCTGAATCATAAGAAATAGCTGATATTCAATGATTTTCAACCTACAAAAACAATGCTTTTGCAAAGTTTAACCTAATATTACAAACATTAAAAATAGTGTTTTTGCTCTAAATGTTCTATAAAGTCATGAGAGGAATGATCTAAATTACCATATACAGAAAAAATACTGGAAGAAAATATATCAAAATGTATATCTGAGAGGCAGGATGATCAGTGGTTTTATGTTTCTTCTTTGTACTTTATTTATATTTTTCAAAGCATGTTCTAGGGGAAAATATTACTTATGTAATAAGAAAAAACATCCAGTACGTGAAAATAAAAAAAAATCTATATATATGGGGGAGGGGAAATACATGCTTTTTTAAATTAAATGCTTAGGCAAAAGAACATGAAGTAGTAACAAGAGAGGACAGAAATGCTAAATTCCCACTTTTCTTCATTGTTCCTCCACAAGGAGAATGCGCTTCACAATCAGAGGGGAAATAAAATACAGAGCTGCAGACTAACCACAATAAAGTGCTCATTTCAGAGGCTCCAGACACTTTCACCAGAGAATCGCGTATCTTGACAGAAAAAGTCTCGCAAGAAACATCACTGTAAACAAAAGACCGAAAGATGATGGATTTCTATCAGAATGAGTCAATGAGATGCAAAGAATGTTGATTAATGAATCAAAATGGAATCAGAGGAAAGAGTCTGGGGCCCTGTTAAAGTCCATGTATTTGGCCCTGTACTATGCAATACTTAATCAACACCCTTCTGGAACACACAGACAACACATGGTGCCTCAGACTTGGAAGATGAACCTTAGGTGCTAGAAGACAGAATAGAGCTACTCAGAAACTCATCAAAACTGGCACAATCTCATTATTAAATATGGAAAAGATGAAACCATACAAAAAGGTAACTCATCAGTATTCCCACATGCCACACACACGATGCTTAAAATTTTAATTATCTTTGCTTGCAGTCCCTTTCTAAGTCCCTAGAGACTGCTTTTGGGGCAGGGTAAAGATCATGTTTTGTTTTTCTGTTGTATATAAAAAAATCTAATCTTGACAATTTTTAAAGGTGTGAAATGTACATGGACTTTGGAGTTAGAACCAGAGTCACATCCTGGTTCTGGCATGGCCACTTGGGTGACATGCTGATTTTTAGTTTCCCCATCTACACAGCAGTCCCCGCATGGAGCTAGATGAGATAATGTGCCTGATACAAAGGCACAGTCATTAACTGGACTCAGTACTCACTTCACAGTACAGGATAAACACTGTCCATGCTACTGCTCTTCAATAATATCCTTCAAATGGTTTATATAAGGGTCAGTCTAGATGACATGCCTTTAACTCATTCATGTACTATTTACTGATAGTGTAAAGACCTTTTTCTTTGTTCTTTTACATTGAAAACTCACCATTGTTAAGTATATCTCCTTTCTTTGAAATGTACACAAATCCTTTTGAAGACCAGACTGGCTATTTGTAAGCTTTATGACCTAGGAATGCCTTTTACAAGGACCTGGAAGCCATCTCTTTGGAATGTAAATCAAGGGACACAGCACCCCTATCTCCCAGTTTCTATGGGAAGGCAGGAGCCTAACTTCAGCATGTTCCTGACTCCAAGTTGCAAAACACCCTCCTGCCAAAAAAGATAGAAGGAGTTTGTTTTTCCTCTGATTAAAGCCACTTGGCTAACACAGACGGTCATATCCTCTTTCCTGAGGACTAATTAAGTTTTACCTTGAAAACATAACGTGTATGTGACAGGTTGTATCTGCTTGGTTATATAAAAGGGTGAGATTTCTTTCTGTTTTTGCAATCTCTTAGTGGGCTGCCTGTGATGCATATCACACTGTGGTTTAATGCTTATTCAATAACACAAGTGTTTTCTTTCTCTTCTACCTTTGTGGAGAGGATTTCTGGATTGGGAGATTTTATTTTTAATTATATTTCTTCAACAATAGTGCCTGCAGGACTACTTTCAATGGGGTGATCAAGGATGTTCTCTTTAAGACGGTGCCCATTAAACTAGGTTCAATTAAGAAGGAACCAGCCAGGAAAAATCAGGAAAGAGCATAATAGCAGAGCCCACTGGGGCAGCAGCACGGTGGGAAAGGGAATGCAGGGATGCCCAGAAGTCCAAGCGCAGGCAGAGACAACCCCACAGAACTCCACAGGCCAGGTTGGGAGCCTAGACTGTACTGTAATAACAATGGGAAGCCAGAGCCGCTGGGGCGCACACACAGAAGCCTTAATGACTCAAGTTTAGAATTGAGGTGCTGCATGAAGAATAGATTTTGAAGAACAAGGGGAAAAGCAAAGAAATAGGTCAGGAAATCCTGCAGTAGTTCAGACAGAGTTGGTAATGGCCACAAAATGAGAAGAGACAGAAATAGACCAGCTCAGGATATGTTTCAAAGGAAGAGTTTCAGGACTTGATGATGGGTGGCATGTGGAAGTGAGGGAAAGATTATTTTAATTGCCTCTTTGCCACACTAGAAAGTATCCACATAGACAGACATGCAGCATGTGAGGTCTAGGAAACATTCCATACAAGGAGTGGTTAAAGGAATGTTTAGCCTGAAGACAATCAGGTTATAAACACAATTTACCTATTTGAAGGGCTCCGGTAACATCATCAACAGCAGGAGTTACCCCACCTTTAATGTTACAGTTACTAGTGCATTTCTCTGTCTCCCCACTAACCTGTAAGCTCCTTGAGGGCAAAAATCATCACGCATCTTTGAATCCCCATCTCCTCCACTGCAAACATGAATGATAACAGCCACCCTCGCTCTCCCCCAGCCTGCAGGCCTTCTCGTCTATTCTTACTTTTTGCCCAGACTTCACTCTGACTATTGTGGCCAGTTCTCTTCCCAATCCAGACCCTCCCCTATTTGGAGGACTGCTGCCAGCCCATCCCAGCACTTGCCCCAGAGGGTAGAGGCAAACCCCAAGATTCCCCCTTTATGGCAAGTGTAAGAACTGGATTTCTCCTCACAGTGTAGGTGTTCTGAGCTAGGCTGGGTTTTCTGTTTGCTAGTTCTGTTGTTTCTTAAGTACTACACTAATAGAATAGGTACTAGCAATATCCCAGGATAAGAATTCAGCATCATGAACATTTCTAAATCCTACTGCCCATACAGCTGTCACCATACTCAGTAGAGATATCTGAAGGCAGCAGTTTTTACCATCCTTGCCTCCTCTGGACTGTCTGGGCACCCTTATCTCAAATGCCCAGAGGGGCTCTAAGGGACTCCAAGCTACTATGACTTCAGACCTTCCTTTCCTACCTCCACTCAATTAAAAATATTTAAACAGAAATCATTTGTGACCATTTAGAAATTACTCTAAAAGGAGTTTTAAAATGTGAAGGACAGATACCAAAAAGAACTATTAAACAACTTAGAGATCTACATAACGATTCAAGGATGCATGAACTACATTGGTGTGGGAGGCAGAATAAAGGCTCCACAAAGATGTCTGTGTTCTAATCCCCAGAATCTGTGAATATGTTACCTTACATAGCAAGAGGAACTCTATAGATGTCATTAGGTTAAGGACTTTGAAATGGAGAGATTATCCCGAATTACTTGAGTGGGCCCAGTGTAATCACAAAGGTCCTTAATAGGAGAGGTAGAAGAAGAGGTCAGAGTGATGTGCCATGAGGGTTTGGCCCCATGTCGTTGGCTTTGAAAATGAAGGAAAGGGCCATGAACCAGGAGTGTGGGGGACTTGAGAAGCTATAAAAGACAAATGGGATGGGTTCTCCCTTAAAGTGTCCAGAAAGGTACACAGCCCTGACATCACCATGACTTTAGTCCCGTGAGACTAGTGTTGGGCTTCTAATCTACAGACCGAAAAACAATAAATTTGTGTTGTTCTAAGCCACTAAATTTGTGCTAATTTGTCATAGCAGCAATAGGAAATTAACACAATTAGTCAAGGAGTACTAAACAAAACTCAGAATTTGGCCTGCCTAGAAAGATACAAAAATTAGTAATTGGATTACAGGCAATATTTATTTCCTCCTTTACTCTCTTCTGTATTACCCTTAAGAAACATTGTTAACCTCAGATTCAGAATAATAT